TTATACGTAATTTTACTTTGTCTATCAAATGGCTATCTCGATTTTTTGAAAATTTTGGATTTTGGCCTACATTTTTTCAAAAACTGAATTTTTTGGGAAAATCATTATAAAATCCAAAATTTTGAGTCTATCGAAAAAACCGGAATATATGTCAGAGAAGTGGTCTATGTGCACCTACATACCAAATTTTAGAAGAATCGGTTCAAAAATGTGGGAGTTATTCAAAATTTTATGACGTCACGACACACAATTTTTTTGAAAAATGACTTTTTTGGAAGTTCTAGACCTCGTACGGAAACAAAAATAGCACCATTCGATTCGCCGTGAAAAACTGCATCAGATAGACACCTTTTTAGGCCTTAACAACCAACTTCAAAATTTGACCTCACTTGACCTGACCTTGACCTGACCTCGACCTGAAATTCATCCAGAGGTGGTCCATATCACTTATTGAGTGTGCCTATTGAATTCTATGAGTAAAATGACCCATAAAACATGTGTCGCACATGCCCTTTTCTATATTTTGTTTTTTGGTGACCTGACCTGACCTGACCTGACCTTGACCTTGACCTCTGAATGATATTGTATGCAACGAATATTGTCTTGGTAGCCTAAGAACACGTTTTGGGCGATCAGTCTCAGTCCATGACTCCATTCTTCGGCAACTACGGTGCAAGGCCGATACTGTAGAAACTTGCAATTTGTACCCTTGACCTGACCTTGACCTTGACCTCAAACTTTAAATTAAGTACATGTTTTTAGTAGTTCGTGATGAGAGCTTTCGATTGGCGTTTGAATTTTCCAAATCGGACCATTAGTTTGGGAGATAACAGGGGGGGGGGTAAAATTTACCCCCCCCCAGCCCCGCGCGTTCGGCTGGAGACCCCAGCCCCGCGCGGGTTAAGTATGGGCATGGCAGGCTGTCAAATCATTTGACAGGACTCCGACCTCCGTTCGACATTAGCCATAATGCACTGTCTGCAACATGAATATCATGATACTGCAATCATTTTCATGAAGCATTACAAAATTGGCATGTCATGTCCACTGCAATTTGGTCATATGGAGCGAAATGCAAACACGTGTTAGGGTTTAATATGGCAAGTGCAGTTTGCAAATAAATCTATGCGTCAGACGCATCAAATTGGTATGAGCTTATGACAGAGCAGAGCGTGGTTAGTGGTTACTTTTTTAGTAATATTTATTATATTAAATTTAATGTGATCGCTTCACTTCAACGCATTAGCTTGCATCGCAGTGCACCAAGGGTGTCACATCAACCGTCTATTACTCTGAACTCTGCACTCTGCAAATACGTTATCCATGCTGCAATGATGCATGCATGTTGCAAACTAATAGTTCGCTGATTTGCCGCTAGGTTTGTGGACGATGGTGTTGGATTGAGACAATAGAGACTCTCTGAGTGTGAAGTATAAAGACCAAGGACCATTGGACTTTTACATAGATAAAGACGAGATTATCTTTGCAATAGAGCAGCCAGTGAGCCTAACTACAGACACACAAGCGGAGCATGTTTCTGTAGTGTGCGTACTCGTGGTTCTTGAACACTGACCAAGTAAAATGTTTTAGCATCATTGTTGCAACTGCAAGCGGCATACCAATCGACTGGTACGTTCGTTTTATCTACTCTTGCCAACAATAACGTACTCTTCGGCTCTGTCGAGCAGTAGGCGAACCAATGCAACGGTAGAGCTAGAAGGTGGTGGTGGTGGGGGGTGGGGGGAGGCTAGATGGGCCGGGGGGGGCAGGCGGGTGCGCTTCGAGTGTCGGCATTGGCGCATTAGCTCGGGAGGAGTCAGCTGTATTCTGGAGGCCCTGTGAAGGCTGCCAGGTCAGGCCGAGCCAGCCGGACGCGGTTCGACGCCACAGTTGGCAGGCATTCTGTTCTGAAGGTGAGTGGGTTATGGATGGTTGTGCGCAACGTTTTTCCCAACGAAACGTGTGGCTAAAGGCTAATCCTGTGGCGTGGAGTGTAGTGGAACTGTGAGACTTCTATTTGGTGTGGGGGCTCTACAGCGGTGATTATACGAACGGAACTATCGCCCTCCGTTGAATTCATTTTGCACGATTTAAGCCAGTGTGTTTCCCAGTGGAGCGCTCGCGAGCGGGGTCTGACGGGATTCAACAAGGTGAAGCTATTCGTGTTATGCACATAGCTCGTCCTACCGAAAATAAAAAGCTATACGAGTGAAGGTGTGAGACACCGAAGTGTAGCGGGGAGTTCTGGGTTTCAACATCATCTGTCTACAGAAGTCCACAGTTGTGACAGAGCCTTGTCTTCGCTCCAGCGCTAACCCACGGAGAAACAGCGGGAAATAAATAAGGTAAGTTAAGTACAAACGACCTACACCCGTTTCGTTTCTCTTTTGTTACAGTGAAAGGCTGAACATCAACCTTTCTTAAGATCTGTTCATGGAAGCTATTTTGTTTGGCTCCATTCATTAGCACATAATGATGAACATTTGTTCCGACCGGCCGGTTTTAATCGCGTATGCCGCTTTTCAGATTGTCTTTAATAATATAAATGCAGAGACCGAATGTTTGCAGGTGTGCTGTGAATGCTTGGTTGTCAAATTACCTTAAACGCTGACCATGGATTTATAGCTACAGTATACCGATCAAAGGCGTGGTGGACGTCGGATATTTCACAATGACTCGACACAATGAGTGACAATATGTCGCGCATTACATTCCTGCAGAGACATTCCTGTCATTTATTACACGGGGCAGCCCAATGACTCACAATAATCCAATGGCTATTGTGATTTGGTTAAAATATTACAGCGATCACCGTAAAGAAGACTGACTCATCAAATTATATTATTTCTAATGTTTCCTTAAATTTTATCCCTCGGAAATTTTTATCTCTACTGATTCAGAAGGCGCAGTCGGCAGCGGCCGCCTGACCTCCGACTAGGGAAAAAGGGGGAGATCGTCGGGGGGGGGGGTGAGGGGGGATTGGTACCAGGATGACCAACTTCCGGTCCCGGTGACTAACACGTCCTCTTAGGAAACTGAGGGCAGATTGGTCAGCTTGTTGTTCGAGGCTGGCAGAAAAGCTTTGTGCTAGGGCGGAAGAGATAGTCCTGGGGCAGTCCCATGTCTGTAGCCCAGCAACGACAACAAGAAAGAACTTGCTCTCCAAATTTAGGACGGTGATAGTTCAGGTCTGTGATTCAACGTAAATGCTAGAAAACATGTACATTTCACACTTATTTCACTGGGCTAAATTTGTAGTGAAATGTTAAAACGTTTTTCTTCAAATTATTTGGTTCAATTTATATCGGATTTGATAGAATTATGCGGAGACATGTATAGGTGTTTGAACTACATAGAGCCGAATTGCCCACAGCATTCCAGCGATATATGGACGAGGTCCAAACCACACCCACCTCCCAGGAGCTCACCCACGTTATCATAACAGACTAGAGCTGCGCAGTGCGCATCCAATGACCTGTTATGATAACGTCATTCTTTAGGCACCGGATGCTTTTTAATTTCACTCCACAAAAACATGGGGCTACTAAAAGTATTTAAAGTGTTTGTTATTTAAAGTTTTCTCATCATTTATCATGGACGCATTTGCAAGCAAAGGATCATCATAAAGCATAATACTCCGCTTCATGGCTATGCATATTGCATATGCTGGGAGATATACACCTTGTTCTATGTAAATTTGGATAGCTAACAAGAATCTTGTGCCCAGAAAATCATACCTAATGTTGACTCAATGACCAACTTGTGAGTGACTAGCCTTCGTAGTGCGGCCAACTTAGTATTAGGATGAAGTGTGAACTGTAATACGGATAGATACTTTGGGGAGGTGTCCATCAGGGGCTCCGCCACCGTTGGGAGGGGGGGGAGGTGTTAGGGTCCGAGTCGCCAAATCATTTCACTTCCGTAATGCAGCCTTATGTATAAGGGAGTGCACTTTTGGGTTGGAGCTCCCTACCCCTCCCCCATCCTATATCCTGCGGAGCCCCTGGTGTCTACATAGATCTGCGTCGCTGTGAACCCGTCCACCCTGCACCCAACGACATTAAAGGGACCCTCCCACCTTCAAAAAAGTTAATGAATTGGCATGAAAGTGATGTCCCTTGGTTCAGAAAGAGCAAAAACGAATATCTACCAAATTTCACCGAAAAATATTCACTGGTTTTCAAGATATTAGGCTTTTACTTTTGTTTACTTATTGGGACCTCCCCTGTTACTAGCGACTTTTTTGGAAGCAATAATTTGGCAGCCTTAAAGTGCGGCAGACGTTGCGCGCAAAGCAGCGTATACCACCACGCGTTAACGATGGTTTTAGTCTAAGATTTAAAAATCGTTAGATCTCCGCTGACGTCACAAATTCTAAGGGGGCATTCCAATGCATTAGCCCCTTAGAATCCGAAAACTGCAAGTTTGAAATTCCATATCTTCGAATTAAAGCATTTTTCGATGTTGTGAGTGCCCAAACCGGTATTTGCAGGCCATGGCCACCAATTTGGCTATCTCAACTCAAAACTAATGTTAAGGTGGGAGTGTCCCTTTAAGTGCCAGACTCCGTTCGACACCAGCCAATGTCAATCCTCTACATCGATGACCAGTATATCACCGAGCTGGCTCATCCCATATAGAAGGTCACCGCCGCACCAATCCCAAAACATCCAAACTCACAGACCCGTGACGGCCTCAGCACTGCCGGCATCCGCGATCAACATTCAGGCATGCAGCATCTACCGAGAAATTCAGCATCATCTGCGGTCTGCTCTGCAGCTGCACCCGACCCCACCTGCACCTGCACTTCTCCCCTCTCCCTTCCCCTTTCCTCTCTCCCCTCTCCCTCACCTCCCCTCCCTCTCCTCCCCTCTGCCGCCCGGCCGCCCGGCCGCCGCAGCCCTGTCGCGCTGGGACACTCCTCTAAAGATGACGTCATCTATGTATGATGTGACGTCACAGACGGCCGTGCCGTGCTCGCCGGACCTCGCTGGGCGAGCGGCAGTCCGGTTTGAGTGACCCTGGCGCCGGCACGGGTACACTCAGCTGTGTGCCGTGAGCAGACTATCACGGGCAACGCTCGTGAACGTGTACCGTGAGGAAGACCGTCGTGAGGGTGAAGACCGTCGTCGGCTGCGTCGCATCGTTTCCGACGAGTAGACGTCGTGAAAGGAATCCGAGGCGGAAGCAGAGAATCCGGGAGTGTCAGACTGTGCCGTGAGACGGTAGTTGATCGTGTTACTCCCAATCGTCAGTAAGATCTTTGAGTTCGCCATTTGATCAACTAACTCCGGGTGGAGTTGATCATCTGATCTCATCTTCAGAAGCTCACATCAGGCCAGCTCTGTGTTTTGCATCACAGTCGTGCCCAGTTGAGCTTACCACCGTCGTTGTGGTCGCAGCTTTTCATATCGTGACTTTTATCGATCGGGACGGTGGTCACGAAACAAGTCTCGCCGCTCGCCGCGCCCTGTGCTGGACCATAGCCGGGTGCACTGACGTAAAGAGACACCAGTGAGGTCAACGAAGGGTCGGAAGATCGGAACGTGAAGATTGTGATAGTTGCAGGACAGTTGCAACCGCTGTGAGAACTGTTGCGGAGTATTGGCTGGTGATCGATTTGAAATTCAAGCCGTTGTGACCTCCGTGACCTTTCTCGAAGTGACTATGTCGCAGCAGGTTGACCCGAATGACCCGCGTGTGCGTCAGTTGGTCTACAACAAGTACCGTGATATGTTAGGGGCGTGTCACGGTCGCAGTAACGAGATGGTGGGAAGAGCGCCTCAGGGCAAGGCGGTGATTCAGGACAGAGGCGTTACAGAGCAGATCAGAAGCATGGCGTGAGTAGGGAGGGGAGAAGGGAAGGGGTGGGGGAGAGAGGGAGAGAGAGAGAGAGAGAGAGAGAGAGAGAGAGAGAGAGAGAGAGAGAGAGAGAGAGAGAGAGAGAGAGAGAGAGAGAGAGAGAGAGAGAGAGAGAGAGAGAGAGAGAGAGAGAGAGAGAGAGAGAGAGAGAGAGAGAGAGAGCTTGGTGTCAGTGTGCAATGCTCATGAAGCTCAAGGGGACTCCCTAGGTCTTGTAATCGTATCATTTACATGGAGTGCTTGTTCGAGTGATCTCAGCGGCAGCAATGCTCCGAGAATGCGCTCTTATCTATCGCTCGAATTCTTCTGAACCAGACACTTCATGCTATTATATCAGCCCAACGAGCAATCCAAACAAGACAAAATGGTGCCTCTCCTTGGCACCATAAGCTTTTCCCATCCCCCAACATCAGTCTGTCCCCATTCCCGATGAGTATGGATGTATTCCCCCATAGCGGCTCCGCAACAATTTTTCCCAGCCATCCGATTTGATGGTAACATCGCTTCGAATTTAAAATCACACGACATTTCCAATCGTTCTGTCTCCTGTAGCCCGGTTATCACCGAAATGATACCGAACTAATGTGATGTGTGTATGTACTGTGTGTGAATAGCGCATGTGTTGGGAAAGGAATAAGTAGTCACTGATGACTGATGACTATAATCTAGCGCTTGGAATGAGCACCATTGTATTATTTGTAGATCTGCTGGATTTATTGTTGTGTTGTACCGCGACCGAGGCTTAGACATTTTTACCTCATTACACCGGACATTCAAGGAATAAGTAACCTTACGTACATGTACTTACGTTCACAATGCGACTGAGGGCATGCTCGTTGCTCAGTGCTCATTGCTCAAGCAATATGCAACATGTTGGATTGCATGATTTCACTGGTGTTAGAACACACAAGCTGAATGAATGAACACATACCTATATTTGGACTAAACAATGGCCCGGTCAATGTAGCCTCTTATCTATGCAACAGGTAGCGTGTTGTTTAAACGTTGTTACTTTGAACAGTGACAATGGTGCTCATTGGATAATTGATATACAGCTGACATTCAATGTCGCCATACGGATTTTGGACTTATTTGAAAATGGCATTGCCTAGCAGCACGGGTCGTTCAAATGGGCTCGAAGTATGCTGCTATTAACTGGGACTCGAGGCTTCATACAAATTAGCTTGACACTTTTTATATGCAGCAAAATATTTGTATCATTTGCTAATAGTTATCATGTGATACCAGAAAATAAGTTGAGAGAGTTTTGGAGAAAAAAGAAGATTTTAGATGTCTGTCATGCTCCCTAATCATTCATCCATCGCTCATTTTTTGTTTCACAGGCAACAGAAGACCAGTGCCCAGTCATTGGCCACCGGTGCCACCCCACACACAAACGGCTCAGCCGTGAACGGTTCACACGACACTCCGGTCACGGGCGTACCGCCGCCGCCGCCGCCGCCGCCGCCGCCCCCGCCCCCGCCCGGAGCACATAGGCCAACAGCTGAGGTGAGAAAGGACGCCCGCTCACCGGTGAGAGCGTGTGAGAGTGGCTGATTGAGGGGGCCGGGGGGAGGGCTACAATGGAGGTGTTGCTATGAGCGATGATGGGAAGTTTTGTCATGGTAACAATTTAGGACGAGGCTGCAGCTTTTTATTATTAGATCATTTTTAAGTCAGTCATTTAATTATTTGTATCGTGCATGCCTTGCTATATTTTCTTTGATTTTTAATTGTTCCATGTTTATGCAATTTCCGAGCAAACATCTTCCATGCCCCAGGTGCACTCCCAATTCGACGCAGACTCATAGTCAACGCTACAACTTTATTTCCTCTTCATCTATACCCTGTTTGATATAGGGCACCTCATATCAAGGCTGGGGAAATGAACGGGTTTGTCCCTGCTATCTATGACAGCTGCGCAGTGCGCTTATCAACAATTGGTATAGGGACACTTCAGTGCTGTTTGCAAAGTCCCCAAGGCCCCATCCGCTTTTAGCTTCTAACGCATGGACCAACCGGGTGTCGACATCACTGGCGTCCTTCCGTTTGGAGAGGGGGAGGGAGGGGGAGGGGCTCCGCCAGACGCCGGGGATGAGTCATTCGGGTACCTCACGTGGTCCTCGCCTCCCCAACGATAAACGAGCTGAGTCAGGCGGTCTGATTAGACAGACCACGACTCTGAGTCACACTGGAGTCAGATGGGTGACGAATCAGCTGACAAATCAGCTGACTGAGCTGAAAAGCTGAAAAGGTGGCGTGCTTTTTTGGAGACCTCCTCTGGTGTCAGTCATTGAACATCCCCCCGTCGTCGCATCTAGGCCATTAGAATGCGCGGAAGAAGCCATTACGATAAACACGAGGGTCATATCATGTTTATGAAACCAACACTTGAGAGTCGGGGATTTTAGGAAGTGCATGAGTGGTAAAGCTTGAGCTGCACTTGAAACATTCACTCGCTTCACTGATTCCGCGTGCTTTGAGCGCGGACGGGAGGAATAAGACTGTCTTCAGTCAATTGCGGAGCAGTTTTTTTAAAGAGATGATTGGGCAGTGAGAGTTTTTTTATTCAGCATAGGAAAGGGCCTAAGATTACTCTTTTTTCATTTGTATGATGTTTATGATTGGTAACGCCGCCTTCTGTTTATTTTGTTTTTGCTCTCGTCGAAGAATGCATAGGTAGTGGGTAGAATTGCAAGTGGGTGCCTCTTACTGCTCGTTCATACGATGAGTTACTAATGCTGATTTATTTTAAGATGGTCTGAATCTTCTCGCTGGGAGCCGCTCTGCCTCTCGTCTCCCCCCAAGCGGCTATTTCGCTGTTGGCACCGCTCCTCCCTGTGGAAACGAGGCAGGGTCGTCATGCCTCGATGGCTCACCGTGTATGTGCTTGGCAAGTGTCCGAGGGGATCCAATGGGTGGATATCCATCTGGTAGATATTTGGGGATCCTGGGTCAGATTTGTCATCACATCAAATAACAAGTGCATTACCACGATATGCATTTTCCGACTGATAACACGAAAAAAGTTACGTACCGGCCTACTTTTTTCTCGTTTCATCGATTCACCTACCGTTGCTTACATTTTGGGTAATCATTCCATTTTTACATTGCTATTTATACCTATCTCCCACGTGGTATTTCGTAAACAATCTAAGAACAGTTTAACGAGCCGGGTAACTTGCCCAAGGCCCTCTAACCAACTTACCTATCCGACATAGTTTCTCACTTTTTCCCACACACTCACACCAGTTTTCTCACACGTGACTTCAGCTCGTCGAGTCGGGATGATTACACGTGCTAACATGGCCCAGGCACCGCCGATCTATGGTGAGATACGAGGCGATTCGGCGCCGCTTCTTACGGTTGAGCTAATGCCAGCCGGTCTAGATTTGATGAAACATGACACTTGTGTCAGTGTCGTGTCGGCATGACCCGTGTGTCATGTGTCGTGCCAATATGACACTTTTCTTGGTATCGTTTTGGTATTGGGGCCTTGATATCTCATTGAATGCTTGATCTTCATCAAGACGCCGTTTTCTTGTGTTTATGAAGCATAGAGATTGAGGTGGGGTTTACTTGTCTCTTTGAGATATTCAGACAAAAAAAAAACACAAATCTAGCATTTCATCCAGCTCCCCTCAATATTTGACTTTGAGCCCACATGTCCGTGGCTCAGTCATAGAGCCAGTTCTGTTCCCATGCAGTCAGTTCTGCAATGAGAAATGGCCCCAGCGCCCCAGCTGCAGTGCTGTCAGCGCCTACCACAAAATCCGCTTACCCGCAGATTCAGACCAGGGCGCGAGCCTTCACGCCACGGATAATGGAAATTCCGCACAGCAAGCGTCGAGATTAGAGCGAAAATAGATGAAAACTGGAATAGTTTTGCATGTCAGGGTCAAAGCGAGGCGCTTGGAAACGGTGAAAAATGGTAAGACGCTGACTTCGGTCATGGTTGCATTAGTGCTGGCTTTAAAACCAACTTGTGAGTAAATAATGTCTGTTTAACATATAGCTTCGGTACCTCTAATATTTTGTTATTATTATTTTAATTTGAGCCTGACTCGCCAGATCTTAGCATCATTTGAAAAGGATACGTTAGTCGCAGCGTTTCGAATCTGGCAGTTTCGCGCATTTGTTTGCGATCAGCCGTATACCGGCCAGGTATTCTAACTGTTTGGCACCAGTTAAACGGCAAGTGGGCTGGGCAGCGACTCGAAACTGGCAGACCCGAGTCTGATTCAGCCTGTCACCTCACAAACACGTGTGTCACATCACAAACACGTGAGTCACCTTGTCACAAACACGTTTCTCTGCTCACAAACACGTCTGTCCGCGTCACATGTGGGCGTTAGGAACAGATCACACGTCGGGGTTTTAACACGCTCCGTCCGCTGACAACACACCGACCAGCAGACCGCACGTCTGTCCGGTCACCAGTGACGTCACAAAGGACACCTGCTGACGTCAGTGATGTGCGTGAGTGGGTGGCGCAATGTGGGCGACAGCTGTCAGGCATCCGAGGTTTTTGTCATCCAGTTCAGATGATTCGAGTTAGTTCCCATAACGGTATATTAGCCGGAAATATGACGTTGATACGAATGACATCTTCTTTTGTGGACTTTCTGACACGTCTATGCTGTTATACATTACATAATCAGAGCGCAGAGGTGAAGCCAGTAATGTAATTGACACCCAGAATAGACTCATAAATCTACCTCATGACTCGGTTCAGTAATCCAGCGGTGCATTTTCCTGGGGTGGGGCTGCCATTACCCGAGTCACGTGACCGTTCCGCATTCCTCAGCCTGGCGATCACGTGATAGACGGATCATGCACCGTGTGGTGTCACGCCATGCTTATGAGAGATGATTCCCAATGAGGAATGGAATATTTCCGGCGCGCTGAATGGGTTTTATCTGAGGTGGCATCGTTGTGTTCCAGATATATGGACTCATTGTTTTGAGATTGTTATGTTTCTATTTTAAGGCTTAAACACTTCCTCCATATAAGTAAAAAATGGATAACGCAAATGCATGCATAGGTGCAACATCTCCGTAACACATCCCAGCTATTCATCTTGGTATCGATACCGGTATCGATACCTACCCAATTGTTGGGCGGTACTGGCTCGTTACACGCACGCAAGGCGTGACTCACGATGCTCTACTTCCGTTCATTGCATCTCGGTGTTCTACTTCCTCGGGGCCACGCGCTCGACAAAGCGTGTGCTGGAAGTTTCCTCCGTTTTTCTTCTACGCATGCTGGCAGGCGCGGCCCTGGACTGACTCCAGTTGACCCAGGAATGTGCCTCTCTCCCCCTCTCTCTCCCCTCTGCCTCTCAACCCGTGCCTACATCGGCCGTGACATCAAGGTGTTGTTTTCTCCACCTACCTTTTCGTTCCTCTCTTTCTCTCTCTCTCTCTCTCTCTCTCTCTCTCTCTCTCTCTCTCTCTCTCTCTCTCTCTCTCTCTCTCTCTCGCTCTCGCTCTCGCTCTCGCTCTCGCTCTCGCTCTCGCTCTCGCTCTCGCTCTCGCTCTCGCTCTCGCTCTCTCTCTCTCTTCTCTCCTCTCCTCTCCTCTCCTCTCCTCTCTCCTCTCTCTCTCTCTCTCTCTCTCTCTCTCTCTCTCTCTCTCTCTCTCTCTCTCTCTCTCGACCCGTGCCTACCTCGGCCGTGAGCACCAGCGTTCTGTTTTTCTTCCCGTCCCTCTTCTGTGTGCCTCCTATCGCGTTTCCACTTCCCGGCAGTGCACGGATGACCTTCGACCAAGCTTCACGTGACCTTTTGTGTCGTGAGCCTCCGCATCGTGTGATGTAGTGGACGACAGACCGCGCGCGGGCCTGCGTCACAAATACGGATCGCTGGTTCTACGGAGAAAATACGACCGGGGAGAGGCAGCGGCATTGACGGCTGTTGTGCAGGGTTGACCTCGATAGGTGTTCGGTGACCCAGGAAGTTTGGATGAGGATGGAGATGCGGAAGAGCTCGATGCTGCTGTCTTAGCGGCATGTTTTTCTTGAATTTATTTTTTTCCAAGACAAGCTGCATCTTTCGTTCATAGATGCATGTAGTTTTGCCATGACATCTTATCGGACAAACATGAAAACTGTGTCTGTCCGAACTATGAAATAATGTAACTGCATGTTTCCTCATCTGCAAACACCAAAATGCACCCGCGTCATTCCACTCGTTGCATACAAATTTACTAGCATTGCTCCGGCCAAAACACTGCATCAAGATTCCCATCAGGTACACCTCCGTCCGCCATATTGATTGCACGTTTAGTTGCACTTCACTTGTGCGCAGCCTGCAATTTTGTCATCAATTGCCCTCGAGAGGTTCGGAGATGCAGGCGAGCCGGAGATCATTGACTTTTGACCCGTTAATTGAGCTGTGACGTCACAACTGGGTGTGACGTGACGTCACCTTTTGCTGATGTAAATTGACTTCCTTGCTGACTAGCTTTTGCACTTTTTCATTGAAACGCTTTCATAGGAACATCGATATG